AATTTATTATATATTTCTTTTTATTGGTATAAATTTTTTAAGTATAATATTCATAATTTTTTTTTAAAAAAAAAAACCACAGCGCACACCATAATTATAGCGCGTGAAGCACTGATTCAGTTAACTCAAAATGACGTATGCCACTTCTTTCAAAGCCTCAAGACAAGTATATCATCAATACAAAATGGGTATTCAAAAATAAATTGAATAAAAAATGAAAAGTAGTAAAGAACAAAGCAAAGTTATATAACCACAAAAAAAATGTTTGTTAAACTATTTCTTGTATTTCTTACACAACGTCGCATTAAATTATTTTAAATAGATGTAAAAAGTTTTTTTTTTAATGGAATTTATAAAAGAAACTTTTTTATCAAACAACCTCTTGGATTTGAAATCGTGTATTTTCTAAATAGTGTCATTTCTAAATAATGTCTATCTTAAGAAAAACTTTATACGAAAATAAAATAAGTTTTAAGAGTTTGGTGTGATAAATTAAGTTAATTTTTTTTTATTGTAAATGACTTTTTTAGAAGAAAAGTTGATGTTACACTTAATAAGAAAATTTATCACCATTAGGATTATAATACAAATATACAAGGATAACATTGTTTTTAAAGTTATTAATAATTGTTTGTGCATGAAACTTTTGAAAGTGATGAAGAGTGAACCCGAGATAAATATGATATTGAACTTTCTTGATTCCAAATTAAACAATCGGAAAATGATCATTCATCAACAGAATTATACTAAGAAACTTGTACAGAAAATCAAAATAGATGAATCAAAACTAAAAAATACCTCCATCTTCAAAGAGAAAAGCGTCATCTATCTCTCAACCTTTATTTAAGAAAATGAAACTTGAAGGTCCTATCTTGTTAATAACAACTAAGCTGGAACTCATCAATAGGAATAATCTTGGTATTATCAAGGCAATAGAGGAACTATATAAAGGCCAAGCAAAATTAAGCTAATCCTGAAATGGCTAATTGTCATCTTTGCATCTTCATGAGTGCCCATGGACTTCAATATGTAAAGGAAAAATAAAGGGTTTTTTTGTCATTGATAAAGGAGTCTTCATGAAGAAAGAAATCATGGAAAACTCATATATACAAATAATGCAACGCATTGAATAGATTGAGCAAAGTTTGCATGAGGTTTTATAAGAGTATAATAACGTTATTTCTACCATATAGAATGATGCTAATCATACAAGCTCTTGTACCCCTCATCTGCAGACGATTTTACCAACAACACAGTCCTCTTTTTCTTATAACACTTTAGACTATTTCCCTTACCTCGTTATAACCTATAATAAATTTGCACATGTGCAATTCTAATCCCTAAATTGTGAAATATAAGTACTATATTTAAACATATTACTTAAGATTCAAGTACCATTTTAAATATACAAAATTACATAAAAAATTTATAACAATAATTAAATCAGTGATTACTTAGTAATTAATTACATGAAAAAAGTTAAAGTTTCTTTATTTAAATAATTAAAAATTATTTTGATGATTAGAAGAGTTTAATTTTGGTATGCTGCCATTATAAAAAAAATTTACACTATAAATTAATTAAAATACATTATAAATATAATTTTTATATTAGTTATTAAAATCCAATGATTTTTATTAATATGACAATTTTTTTTATTGAAATATAGTATAAAATTCATACTGTTAATGTATTTAAATTAAAATCTAATTAGAATATACACTAAAATTAATCTTGAACATACTTATATTTAAAGTTATACCACTGGAGAAAATTGATTTTGAATGATAGTCCAATGGACACTTGGAAGATGTTACAAATGTTTTTTATAAGATTGGGACAGCATAAAATTGTTGAAGACATTTTGGAATACTCCTGTAATAAGAGAAACTTCATAATTAATATATAACAATGTATATATATACTTTGGTTAAATGAGTCATTACAGCATCTATCTTTAATGACAATTTTGAATATTATAATTAAGAAGACTACTTTGACTCCATCAACGTGTAAGAATTCTTTAACAAATTGTCCATATTTTATTCTGGTCCCACCTGATCATACCTTATGATTAAGAAACATATATTAAATTTACTCATCAGATCCTTTGGATGATTTGTCCCTGTTGTCATTTTTAAGCAACTTATTAATGACCAACTCTTCATACGGTTGCACTATTAGCATTCGACCATGACCAATATAGAATTGATGTTTGCCTATTAAGTTATAGGAGTACTATTCATAAAACATTAATCTTATTTACATCAAATTATTGAGTTTAATTTTAATATATTCTTAATATAATTTTTTTATAATATCAACTAGCTAAAAATCGTTTTAAATATGACTCTTAAAATAATTATTATAAAAAATGATTTTTAATTACGCAACAATTAATATATTTAAATTAAAAAGTATTGAAATTAATTATTCCTATACTTTGATTAAATTCTTATAAATATAATATCTCTATCTTTGGATTTGTTTTGGACACCCATTTATGACTGCCATGCCAATGTGTTTGTTTGAGCAGCATTATGCTTTTTTGCACCGTCTTCCCTTCCTTCTCTAGTTGTCCAAGAAGATCGTTTTCTCTTTTGCCCGAAAGGATTTAAAATTTCTGTGTTCTTTGTGTCTTGTAATTATTAGTTTTATGAAATTTTACTTTTTATATCTTTTGATTTTTCTAATATGTTATAATATAATAAATTTACAATTTTATAGAAGCATACAATCAAAACTACATAATCCCGACATTGTACTATTTAATATATATATATATATATATATATATATATATATATATATATATTTTAAGCTTTAATTTTAACAATATAGGTTCAAAAATAAATTGTGTCATCAATAACTAACAATGCATACATGTATTTTATTATCCTTTAACATAGAAATACAGTTTATGATCCTCTAACACAAACATGCACCGCAACGTGATTGATACATTCAGATATTCAAAAATAATATTAAATTTTAATTGATTTAGTACATAGTTACTATAAATTTATTAGAGATCTTTATTTTATTGTTATTAAAAAAGATACTTTTATTATTTTAAAATATGTAAATATTTATATTATAATTTTATATGCTTTAAATTTTGACTTGGATGGATAAAAGTAACAGATTTTGTAATAAGTTTTAGAAAGTATTTTTTTAAGAATATAATTCTTGAATTGTTTAAAAAGTTAAAAGTTATGAGATTTTAATATTTTTCAAATACAAATACTTTAAGAGGAGTAACGTGCAAATTTCTTTAGAAAATGTATATAAATGAATTAAGAATTGGTCGAAGAGTCGATTCAGAGGCTCAATTTGTCTGCAAGGATCAAGTCAGAATTGTTATGTTGAGCACTATTTCGGGGAATGTGATCGCGGACTTTAACCAAATCTTTTTAAGAGTAAATCATTATTTAATCCTCTAACTTTAGTAATTATTAATAATATATCTACTATTCTTGTTGTTATATTACTAATTATTTATAAATTTATGAATTATCTTTTTTTCAGTGCATAACTTTTAATTTATGAAAGTATATATTTAAAAGAATTAAAATAAATTTAAAGAATAAAATATTATATTATATACCAAAAAATGAAATTTATATAAATTTAATTATTCGAATAAATATGAAACATAAAATTAAAAATAAAAAATATACATGGTTAAGAAGCATATTGAAGATAAATAAATAAAAAACAGAAAATGTCATGTGACACTTCAAGGGAAAAATACTGAATAATATATAAATTATTTTATATCATTAATTATTTAGATATAAATAATATTAAATATTTTTTATTTATGTTAAGCATATATTAATAGAAATATTAAAACTTACTTTATGAAAAAATATTAAATTATTTATATAATATAATACATAAAATTTACTTGATATAAATTTAATTATTAAAAAATATAAAATACATAATAATAAGAGAAAAACAAAAGGTTAAGAATGTAAGAGGTTAAAAAATATAAAAAAAGTATAGCAAAAAACAAACTAAATTAATAAAAAAAATAGTTATAAATTGAAATATTGTCAAAAAATGAAAAAGAAGTGAAAATGCCATATGCCCTTTTTAGTAGAAGAGTTTGACAATTGAAAATAAGAAAAAAAAAATACAACATATGGTACTTAAAAAAAGAGTTGAAAAAATAAAAAAACAAAAAGTGATGTGACATTTTTAATAAAAAATGTTTAATAATATATATAAATGTTTAAAAATAATAGCACCTTAGTCAATAATCAAACGACAAAACTCAGTCAACACCAATTGGAATTATAAAATCTAATTCATGCTTGACCTTTATGAGACATTTTTTGGGATTGGAATCGTACGCGCAACAATTAATTTCACTCGTCACACTAAACTGAATTGGTCCTTTTATTTTTTCATTCTTTGGATATAGATGAATAGGTCTTGCTTGTGATTAACTTTAAATAATGAGAAAGAAAACGAAGTTAGGAAGAAACCACCCAATTGGATTTATTCATATAATTCCCATTGCATTGCCAAGTCTCTATAGCAGTTCCCATTCTTTCATTATAAATATGCCATTTGGGAATTAGTGTGGAAACATATGTCTACCAGAGTTTATTAGGGGATCATTAATTTCATCTTCATCTTCATACATTTCCATTGCCAGAAAGATGATCTCTTTGAACTTATGCCATTTTCTCCAAATATTTACATGCATTCTTCTTTTCATCGGGACAAATTGTGAGGATGGGCGAAAGGTAAGTAATCTCTATACGCTGTTAATTACTTAACTTGCAATCCAACTGGTAAGCATTTAGTTTAGTTTATTTTTGAAAAATAATTACTTGCATTTTTCGGAAGTATCACCCTAGGGCTCATAAAATTAAGTTATTCATGTGGTTCAAGTTTGGGTGATTTTTAAAAATCATATAAAATAATCTTAAAATTTTATATTATTTTATAATTTATCTTACTATGTGATCATATGCAATGTATATATGCAGACCTACATTGTTTACATGGGTGATCATCCTAAGGGCGTCAAATCCACAGAATTACTTCATAATAGTATGGTTCAGCATGTCCTCGGCAGGTTATTCAATTACCTCATATTTTCGTTTTAGTGCATCTAAAGTTACAACCATTTTTTCTTACATTAGTTTATATATATATATATATATATATATATATATATATGTATATATGTATATATATATATATGTTAGTGTTTTCTCTACCTGCTCAACATTTTTTTTTATCTTTGGAAATATTAATTACTTTGACAACTTATTAAGGAACTGAATATGCTAATTTCTGCTTTAACGATCCAGTAAAATTAATGATGTTAACCATTTTGTTAAGTCTTTTATTTTTCTGCAAAATTTATTTTTGTTTGATTGGTTAAAAAAATAATGTCGCTATCATTTTTAGATTAGTAAACAAATAAAATAAAGAAATTAATTGTGAGATTTAATGACTACAAAATAAGTATCAGATACAAACGAGAAACAAAATGATTGGCACGTAAGGTTAATATTGCCTGCATTGATATAATTTAATTTTGTCTAATCAAAATGAAATTACTAAAATAAACATTATATATTTATGTTAATAGTGTGATGTATTATACTAATAATATGATATATTAATGATATAATCAATTATATACTAATGGAATTATCTATTAATCATTAGTATTAGTGTAGATCTGTAATGTCTACACTAGCTAGTTAATTTAATTTCTATTAAACAAAGATTATGCTAATAGAGTTAAATTCAACGTCAAACCATTACTACATATGATATTTTTTACGGTTATTATTTTCTATGAAAATGTGTTAGAGAGTATTATATACTATAATATTTACCATTTCAAATGGCATCCATTCAGCAAATTTGCACCAGATGCTTTGCTGCATAGCTACAAGAAGAGTTTTAATGGGTTTGTGGTAAAGCTTACAGAAGAGGAAGCAGGGAGAATGGCAGGTATTGATTAGATGCTTCTCTAACACCCATAATACCAGTTGGGTATATTAATATTGCATTTATTTTGATGAGTGAGGTTTTCATATTTGCTCAGAATTGGACGGTGTAGTCTCAGTTTTCCCAAACAAAAAGAATAAGCTCCAAACAACAAGGTCTTGGGACTTCATAGGCTTCCCTCAAAATGTCAAAAGAACAACTATAGAGAGCGACATAATCATTGGAGTAATTGACTACGGGATTTGGCCTGAGTCTGAAAGTTTTAATGACAAAGGATTTGGTCCACCACCAAAAAAATGGAAGGGCACTTGCCATAACTTTACCTGCAATAAGTAAGTAAAATTTATCACACGTACATACTTTAATAATGAATAAACCTTCATTTTAATTCATAAATTATGAATATCAGTCATTTTTAATCCTTAATTTTGTATAATGTTTTTCACTTAAATTTTTTTTTTTATGAAAAATGATATTATGGAAAATTATTAAAATGAATAACTTTTTTATAAATTTAAAATAAAAATTTAAAGTCAAAAACTAAAATGACTATCACTTACAATCTCAAAACTAAATAAGGATTTAATTATTGTATAAACTTCTAAATAAAGACATGCATAGCAATTCGCTCAATTCATACATAAAAGTTTGATAACATAAAGCATTTCTATATGATTAATGCAAGTTTTCACAATTTCTTTGTAGTAAAATAATTGGAGCAAAATATTTTCGCATGGATGGTGCCTATGGAAAAGATGACATGATATCTCCAAGGGATTCATTTGGGCATGGAACTCATTGTGCATCTATTGCTGCTGGAAACTCAGTTAGTTCTGCGAGTTTTTTTGGCTTAGCCTCAGGAACTGCAAGAGGGGGAGTTCCATCAGCACGTATTGCTGTGTACAAACCATGTTGGGTGTCATCAGGGTGTGATGATGTTGATGTGCTTCATGCATTTGATGAAGCAATTGCTGATGGTGTTGACATCATTTCCATTTCACTAGGACCTGTTCAAGTAGTGTATCCATTCTATTTCAACGATGTATTTGCAATTGGAGCTTTCCATGCAATGAAGAAAGGCATATTAACATCCCATTCTGCTGGTAATAATGGTCCACAGACTTACACAATCTCTAATAATGCACCATGGTTACTTTCTGTAGCTGCTAGCACTACTGACAGAAAGTTTTTAACCACTGTTCGATTGGGTGATGGTACCCTTTATGAGGTAATTAGCTACAAGTTAAACTATTCACTTATATTCTTATGATTATAATTAAATTTATTTTTAATCTTTTAAAAATTTATTAGCGATTTTTGTTCTTATATATATTTTTAAAACAGTACTACTTATCATCGACTATTTTAAAGTAACAAATAAATTAACATGTCTAAATACATGTTACATTATCAAAACAAAGTAATAAGATTTGTTTCAAAAATTTTAAAATTTATAAGAATTCACATAAACAAAAAAAAAAGAGAATATATTAAAATTAAATCTTGCCATATCTATGGGAAGTAAAGCATTATTTTTCACTAATTTTTTTTTACTTCCACTTTCAATTTTTTTTTTTTTACGGAACATTTTTTCTAACTTTATTACACAATTTATTCTATTTCAAGTTTTTTCTTTTAAGTTTCTAACCACTCTTAATTAAAAATAAGTAACAAAATAATGCTGTGAAAGTATAATTTCCCAGTAAGAACCCTTGTTTTGTAACTATTATTTAGTATGAAAAATGATTTGTAACTAATTAAATATACATAGCTATATATTAGCATAATTTTTTCAAGTTTCAAAATATAATTTGTTTAGAGTAACATTTTCTCTCTTTCCCATTAGATTTGTTTTTAATACATTAATTTCATGATGGTTAAATATACAAACTGGGTTTTCGAAAAATATTTCATTAGAAGAGTTGATGCTCTTTAGTTTCTTGTGAGGCCCCCTCCTCACATAGGTGGTGAGTCTTCTTTTACGTTTTTTTCAAAATAAAAAAACAAACTAATTAATCCTGAAATGTTTATTCAATATTCAGGGAATTTCAGTAAATTCATTTGATCTGAAAAATGAAAGCTATCCATTAATTTATGCTGGAGATGCAGCCAACATTACCGGAGGATACAATCGTAGCACATCCAGGTACCAACTGTATATATATTATTACCAATCTCTTTTTTTTCTAATTATTTTTGGGTACAAACTTACCAATATCTTATTTTGTACTGAATTTCAAAACTTGATTCTAACATTATCACTACATAGGCTTTGCCTCGAAAATTCTTTAGATGAAAATTTGGTGAAGGGAAAGATTGTTCTATGTGACGGCTTTCAAGTTCCTTCATCTGTGGGATTGGTTTCTGGGGCAGCTGGCATTATATTTAGCAGTGTAACGCCCAAAGATGTGGCATTTACATTTGCATTGCCAGCGATTCTCCTCAGCCGAAAAGATGGGACACTGGTACACTCTTACATAAATTCAACAAGGTACACATTTTTTCATTATAAAGTATGGTAGCTATTTTCTGCAGTCTTAATATGTGATTAATTTATATGATATTGCCTTATTACTACAGCAATCCATCAGCCATTATCTTTAGGAGTGATGAAGGCAAAGACTCGTTAGCCCCTTACGTAGCTTCATTCTCGTCCAGAGGTCCAAATCCAATCACTCCAGAAGTTCTTAAGGTAACCTCATATTTAGGCAAATATTAATCAGTATATTTCGGGCATAAGTTAAAAAAATAATACAAATCATCTTAATTTTTAAAATTATATATCCATTAATTATACCCATCAATTTATCTTATTTAATGTCATTTTCTTATTCTGATTATTTCTAATTTTGTAGCCTGATATAGCCGCTCCAGGAGTTGACATTCTTGCTGCATGGTCTCGTGTTGGTTCTGTTTCTGGTGTCAAAGGTGATAAGAGAATAGCTAACTACAATATAGAGTCTGGGACTTCAATGGCATGCCCTCATGCTAGTGCAGCAGCTGCCTACATCAAATCATTTCATCCTGATTGGTCTCCTGCAGCAATCAAATCGGCATTAATGACCACTGGTAATGGGTGCATGTTCTCAATTCTTGAATCACAAGAATAGAGCTAAAGAATTTTTATTTATTTATTCTCGAGTGTTAGTTTAGTTTTTCTATGCAGGAAATAACAACCAAGAGCATTTTTGTTTTTACATTTTAGTAACAATGATTTGGAAACAATTAATGTTAAAAAAAATCAATTTGTATTTGAGAATGATACTATTACATAATAAAATTTAATATAATTAATTTTACTTGTATATTAATTAAATAAAATCACTTGTACTTTATAAATACGTTTTACCTATAGTTAATTCCACTCTTTTAAATTATAGATTATAGAAGTTTTTTTTTATGTCTATTAGTATCAATTATGCTATCACAATATTTCATACCCATGAATCGATTTTAATATGCTGGTTATGACCAACTTGCAGCTACCCCAATGAGTGTCGCACTTAATCCCGAAGCCGAATTTGCTTATGGTGCAGGCCAACTTAACCCCATCAAGGGAGTGAATCCAGGCTTAGTATATGATATTAATGAAATTGATTATGTCAAGTTTCTATGTGGACAAGGATATGATACCAAAAAGCTACGATCTATTACAAGTGATAATAGCACTTGTACACAAGCTAATAATGGAACTGTTTGGGATCTTAATCTCCCATCTTTTGCTCTTTCCACAAACACCTCAATATTTTTTAGTGCTGTTTTCCACCGAACTGTTACCAATGTTGGATTGGCTACATCAAGATATAAAGCTAGAGTAACTACACCTCCATCTCTATTAAGCATCAAAGTGGAACCAGAGGTTTTGTCCTTCTCATCTGTGGGTCAAAAGATGTCCTTCAGTCTTACCATTGAAGGGATAATTAATGTGGATGTAGTTTCTTCATCCTTGATTTGGGATGATGGCACTGCCCAAGTAAGGAGCCCGGTTGTTGTGTATGTTGGACAAAATTAATTTGAAGCTGATAAAAAGCTTTCATGTATTCATGGTATTTTTGGTGCGGGTTAGTGTAAGTTATTCAAAGTTAGGTTTTAAATATGTTTTATTCTTTATAAATAAAAATTTTCTTGATTGATGATCCCTAAAATTTTTTGTTTATTTTGGTCTTTATAATTTTTATTTTTATTAAGAGTCTATTATATTACTGTTAAAGGGAAAACAGAAATGTCATGTTTCATTATTCTGTCAAATTACTAGAAACAAAAAATATTAATCTATAAACGTTAAAATTAAAATTTATAGTAATATTTATTGTGATGTTTGAAATAATAATACAATTATGTGGAAGTGAAATTAAATTGAAAAATTAACTTTTAACCATTATAAATAATCAGTTTACAATTTTGGTTTTCTAAACTCTTACTTAAAGCACAATAGTATGTTATTTTATGAATAGAGGAGTAAATTTAGTAACCAAAAATAAATGAAAATATAAAATATTTATAGGATTCTATCAATCATAGAGCTCAAAGCTTAGAATTGCTAATAACATTTCAAAAATCAGCCAAAAAAAAATTTTTATGTGCAAAATTGAATTTGGACACCGAAGATAAATTGATCACATTAAGTTCTTAAAAACTAGGAACTAAAATTAAAACAGTTTGCTAACATTCTCCCACTTGATCCATTTATTCCATTATTAACCATAATAAGAAACTAAATATATGAGTCATAGTAATAGTTTCTCTAATGGTGAGTGTTATCTCCCATGTATTATAATATATTAAATCTTTCAATATTAGCTCTCAACTTAATAAATAAATCACATGTTCATTTAAGGTTAAAATTAAATGATATTTTTTTAAAAAATAAGCAAATATGTACACAAAACAAATTAGAAAATATCAAAATGATAAAAGTACCTATAATGATTATCACATCATGGAACCATAGCTTATTTATGCTACATGATCCTTAAAATTCTTTGGTGGCATACCTTTAGTCAAAGGATCGACAATCATCAACTCAATGCTAATGTGTTCAATGACCACTTTCTTTCCCTTAACACGTTCTCTTATGGCTAAATATTTAATATCAATGTGTTTACTTCAATTAACTTTCGCTCTTGTTATTATTAGTCATAAATACTGAGTATAGTTGTCACAGTACAACTTCAATGGCCTAGAAATAAAGTCCATAACTCTAAGCCTAGATATACAAATCTTTAACCATACACCATGTGAGGTAGTCTCAAAGCAAGAAACAAACTTGGCCTTCATAGTTGAAGTAGCAATTAAGGTATGGTTCATATTGCTCCAAGATACAACTCCACAAGTTAGGATAAAAATAGAACCAGATATAGATTTCTTAGTATCAATACAGCTAGCGAAGTCTAAATTAGAGTAGTCTATCACCTCCAAATCATCAATCTGTCTATATATAAACATGTAATCCTTTGTTCCTTGAAGATATCTCATTACCTTCTTTGCAGCTTTTCAATGGTCAACATCTATATTACTTTAATATCTTCCTAAAAATTCAACTGCAAATGCAATGTCAGAATTAGTGTAAACCTAAGTATCATAAGACTTCTAACAAGTAAAGCATATGCAATACTTTTCATGTGCTCCCATTCAAGGTCATTTTTCAAGCACTCACTTAATTCAAACTTATCACCCTTCACAATAGAAACTACACTTAACAATCTTTCATGTTAAACCTTTCTAAAATCTTGTTGATATAGGTCTCTTGAGATAAACCAAGAATGCCTCGAGATCTTTCTCTATAGGTCTTAATAGGCATAAGATGTCTCACTCATATCTTTTATATCAAAGTTTTTTGAGAGAAATTGTTTCACCTCATATAACATACACTTATCATTAGTCGCAAACAAAATATCATTCATATATAAAATAAGAAAATAAATCTTACTCCCACTAACCTTCAAATATATACATTGATCCATGATATTTTCTTCAAAACTAAATGAAGATATAACTTCATGAAATTTTAAATACCATTGGCAGGAAGCTTGTTTTAATCCATATATAGATTTATTAAGCTTGCATACAAAATATTTACCGTTATTAGAGAAGAATCTTTCAAGTTATTTTATGTAAACCTTTTCTTCTAGATCACCATTGAGGAACATTGTTTTCGCATCCATCTGATGTAACTCAAGGTCAAAATTAGCTACTAATGTCATAATTACTCGAAAAAAATCTTTCTTAGACACGGGAGAAAAAATCTCCTTGTAATCGATTCCTTTTCTTTGAGTGAACCTTTTGGTGACAAGTCTTGCCTTATGTCTCTCAATGTTGCCTTGTGTATCTTTCTATGTTTTAAAGATCTATATACATCCAATGACTTTTATACCATCAGATAACTCAATGAGATTCTAGACTTTGTTAGATGCCATAGAATCCATCTTATCTTTCATGACATTGTACCATAAATTCAATTCCTTAAAACTCGTGGTCTGTGAAAGCATTTTAGGATCATTTTCAGCTCCTATGTTATAGTTTGATTCTTATAGATACACCGCATAGTCACCAGGAATTGCTGACTTTCTAACTCTTGTGGATCTTTTTAATGTTACCTCATTATCCTAATAAGAAACTTGTTATTCAACCAATTGCTCAACAGGTTGTTCAATATGTCACAACAAGAAAATACTTAATTAGTCACTTAATTTAGAAACTGAAAGAAATCTGTAACAAATATTGACTAAATTAGCAACCAAAAAAGACTTGTTACAAATAGCAACAAATTTTTTTTTTTGTAGCAAATAGCTATTGATTTTGGCAACCAAAACAAATATATGACAAATAGCAATTAGTTTAACGATGACAACCAAAATTAGCAACTAAAATAAATAAATCTATAGCAAATAGTTACCGAATTTAGCAATCGAAATAAATTGTGACAAATAGCCACCAAATTTAGCAACTAAAACAAACCAGTGACAAGTGTTATTTAGACACTAAATACAAAAAAATGATATAAAATTAATAATATTTAAAATAAAAAATTAAAGTTGTTCTAAAATCTATTATTTTTTAATTAAATATTTTGAATATAATTAAAAATATATTATTAAAAATAAAAATAATTTGTTAATTATTTACAAATTTTATTTAATTTTTTTATCTAAATATGTATGAATATATATATATATATATATATATATTAATATTTTAAAAGATAAAAATTTATTTATACATATATATATATATGTATAATTTTTTAAAAAAATAATATTTTAAAAAAATAAAAATATATATGTTAAATAAAAAATGATATCAAATTCATATTTTTTAAAAACAACAAATTAAAATCATTGTCAAAAATAAATAAACTACCATTATAAAATGTTACTTGAAATTAAAATAAATAATAATTATAAAATGAAGATTAAATTTATAGTTATAACTATTATTAGATAAATTATTTTAAAAGATACGAATAACTATTAATTGTTGCGTAAAATTGTTCAAATCATTCTATTATTATCATATTATTGATTTAGTAGCATAAAATTAATAATTTTTATAAATAATATAGTTACGTTCTTAAAATATAATAAATAATAATTATCAATTTATGTCTAAATTCTAAAATTATAATTATAAATCAATAAATTTAAATTAAATTTTATTATTGTAATCAAAATAGTTAATCATAAATGATCTTAAAGCAAAAAAAAATATTTAATTTATGTTGTCTAATATTTAAATTATAAACACAAATTTATATATTTTTTTTTACGTAAAAATTTCATCTCTAATTATGATTTCAACTTTATCCACATAATTATACTTTTTTTTTAATTTTAATATAATAAAATATATATGAAAAAATTCAATTTAGTATAATTTATTATACAATTTATTTGTTTTAAAATAACTCAATTGTAATAGTATATAAAATTAAATAGTATAAAAAATTATTACAAAAAAAATAGTATATAAAATTAAATATAAACATCATAATAGTACTATAAAATTATAATATTTAAATTATTAAATAATTAGTTATTATGTTATTTTATTTTTTTTATAAATATTCAAATAAAAATTAGTAAATAATATCTCAAAAAATGATTACAATTGTTTTAAATATGATTTTATTAATTCACTAAATATGATATGATTTATTTTTTAATTTTTAAAATTAAAAGACTATCAATACATTTATAATAATATATTTAAACATTTAAAATATTTACTAATTTTTTATTTATAAATGTTATTTAATTTTAAACATACTTTTCAAACATACTACTATCAAATGTCTTATAACAATTGCGAAAAATTTATATGATTGTGAATTCAATTCATATTAATTTATATTCAATTTTAAATTTAATATATGATATCGTAAATGATAGTGTATTTTAATTTGAACAATTTTTTAAATATTTTTCTTTAATATTAATAATCTTGTTTTAAATTCTTTGTATTTAATATAACAAAGAATTAATTATTAAAATAAAAATATTTTCTTGAAATAATAATTTTTTATAATATTTTTAATTTTACTGACTATAACTATAATATAAAATATAATTTTAATAATATTTTAAAAATAAAATTATTATATATATACATATATAATTTGTTAAATGAAAAAATAATATTTTTTAAAATTAAAAAAACTACGATAAGTTACAAAAATTTCCTCTTTTACGCATCATAAAATAAGCACTTACAAATGTAGAAAAACCTTACATCAAATTAGATGTATGACCCTCGTGGCTGGCATTAGGTGAGAATTTGTCCAAGAGTCATGGTTGCCCCGTTAGCGGGGATGCTTCTCCAACGCAACATCGCATTGCAGCTTGCAAAGGCAATTCGCAAGGCCATTGAGGTAATGTGTTGATGTTTGTTTGGTCTTTAGTTTCATCTGTCCCTATGATGTTTGATACTTTGATTGGTTATCTTTTTCAATCTTGATGGATATCATTTATATATTTTTTCTGCTCTTATAAATCTGTGTGTATATAGAGTTTTTGG